AACAAACTGAGGGTTGCTGGAGTGGTGGGGGGTGGGAGGGATGGGGGGGCTGGGTGATAGACACTGGGGAGGGTATGTGCTACAGTGAGCGCTGTGAATTGTGTAAGACTGACGAATCACAGACCTGTACCCCTGAAACAAGTAATACATTATATGTTAATAAAAAAAGAGAAAGTATTGATGCAATTGACTGTCTACATATAATATGGCTGGGAGTGACAAAGATATCAACGGAATTTGTTGGGAAGGTTGAGATTTCACTGCACACATTTACACACAACTACAAAGACTTTTACTACTATAAAAGGCATGGTAAGATGTTTTTTCCCTTACTGTGAACATGCGCAGGCTTTTCCAGTGGGACTGGCCTGGAACAGATCCTTCTGTGTGTGCTTTGGTGGTCTTGCCCCACTCAGACGAGTTTGTCCTGGGATGGTGCTTTGATGGTCAGCTCCGATATGACCGAATCTCAGATTGGGTTTTCCATTTTTTCATCTGGGATACACAGGCACCTTTGAACCATCATAAGCCTTTAGATATATTTAGGCTTTGAAGTGTGAGTAACATAAAACATGAAGTGAAGGATTCATCCTAATGCTTGCTTTAGGCTATAAAGAAAGCACGGAAATTTGGGGTTCTTCTCATTGGGATTCATGATTACTGGCTAGAGAAGTGGTAGGTATTTATTTATTTATTTTTATTTATTCATTTAAAAGATTTTATTTACTTATTTGAGAGAGAGAGTGCGAGCGTGCGTGAACACAAGTAGGGGGTGGGGTCGGGTGGGGAGAAAGGAAGTCTCCCTGCTGAGCAAGGAACCCAGTGAGGGGCTCGATCCCAGGACCCCAAGATCATTACCTGAGCTGAAGGCAGATGCTTCACCGACTGAGCCACCCAGGTGCCCCAGAAGTGACAGGTATTTAAATACCTTATAGGGTATGACCAGTAAATTGCTCTATATTGAATGATAAATATTAGAACTCAAAATTAAATGTGTACAACAAATAACTGAATTCTAGTGAAATAGGAATTAAGGTATTGCTTGAAAGAAATTACCAAAATATTTTAAAATACCAACAGAATTAGGAAGGAAATAGTATATTTAGGTTAATGCAAATTGATCTAGTGCTCGTATGAAGCAATATGTTTTTAAGTACAAAAATCTTCATATGCTTTGACCAAGCAAAGACATGTGAATTTCATTCATTGAAGTAACCAAAAGAAGCCTCGTGTATGAAAGTGTTCAATTTAATGTTATTGTTACTATAGGAGTCTGTGAACAACTATTCCTGATGGGAGGGGGGATGGTTAAACAAAAGATGGTCCGCTAATTGAATAGAACTTTGGGTAACTATTATAACAACATTGTATGGACACTAGCAATAGGAGGATGTAAAAGTGTGTGACCCTGGGACTTTGTAATGAAAGCAGATTGCAAAAGTACATGTTCCCTGTGATTACTATGCACATAGATATATTTATTCATTTATTCTAGAAATGTTCTAGAAATGTCTACTGATTATATAGCAGATATTGGTGCTAGGTGCTGGAGACCCAAGGTGAAAATGTGTGTTTCCTGCTCTCATTCAGGGTCAGTCCAGCTGAAAGATAGTTATGCAAACAAATGGAAAAATGTAGTTATTCACAAAATGCCACTGGAGTGCAGGAGGAGCCTTCAAGTTGGCTGAAGACACAGGGAAAAGCTTCATAAAGGAGCTAAGATTTTTATATGGACAAAATTTGAAATGCAATGTAGAGAAAAATAATCAGTTGTATAAGGGTGGAGGTATTTGAAGTAACTTAAAATTTTTAAAAAGTATCTTTATTGAGATTTAATCCACATACTATAAAACTCACCCATTTAAAGCGTACAATTCAATATTTTCTTGGTGTGTTCATGGAGTTCTGCAAACATCACCACAATCTAAGTTTAGAATATTCTCCTCATCCCAAAGAAATGTATTTTCACTCTTTCAAATTTCTTCCAACATTAAATGTTTTTATAATAATAGAAAATCTAAGCATAAAGACAGAAACTTTTGATCTCTACCATTGTGGGAAAGCTTTATGTTGCGTGCAAAACAAACCACAAGTACATCATCTTGTCTTTATCTTTTCATTTTATTAGTGACAAGGTGAATAGGTATGTGACAATCTTCACAGATATCTACATATGTATTTAAATAAAAGAAGAAAAAGAAACTCAGTTGAGTTGAAAGCGTGGGGTTTCAGTGGCGACTAGTCCATGTTGTTTGTTTACTGAATTAAAATCTCCAGGTGTATGATTTGCCCATTTGATTTGCCCATTTTTCCCACATCTTCAAAACCAGCTGCAAGAATTTTAACAGGGATATCTAAAATATACATAGACTCTAACAGAGGCATGGTACAACATGAATTATGAAAGCAATTGGCGATGCTATATGGGAAGCAGATACTCCCAGTGCATTGACGGAGAGTGTTCCTCAAGTAGAAGGGATGCTCAGGAACTGATGACTGGTGGGTTCACCTGACCTCAGGTGTCCCCCTTCCTCCATTTGCTTCCACATCTGAGGTGGCAGAGGGGCCACAGTGTGCACGATGATCCCGTCAAGTGCCTGTAGGTAGCAGTGCCCATCCCTCTAGAGAGGACCACTCTTGGCTGCGACTGTGAGGAAGCCCCCAGACCTTGATCCTTCTGGGTCCCAGTCTTGTTCCTGTCATCACTACTTTCCTCCAGCTGTCTGTGTGACCCGGTTCATGGGGTTCTACATTTATGTAGCCCTACGAGTTCTGAGTTTCTTCACAAATGGTAGCTTAAAAGGCAATGGGTATGTTTTCTCAGAGACCTTTTATAACCCCAAATCCCGAGGAGCTAATCTCTATTGGCCCAAAGTCAGGCACGATGACAAGAGTTAGGGCATTACTTGGGGGCAGAGAAACCTGTCAGGCACTCTTCCAATCATATACAGACAGCCACCTCCCTGTAAAACCAATTCTACCTAGATGACTAACATGGAAGACCCCCAGAGGCTGGTGTGGGACCCTCAAACTCTCTGAGGCACCTGCAGTTCTCACCCACAGTCAGCCGTACACAATGAGAGCCAGACTTCAGTCCTTACACACTTGAAACTGCTACCATGACAGGATTTAATTCACAAGTGGGAAAAATATGAACTGCATCAGAGTATTCTTCCATGTGCCTTGCATTTGGTTTCCAATGAAGCTCTGCAGCTGTAGCCAAATGGCTTGCCTCCAGGTTAAGGCATGACGGAAAATTTAGTGTCTGTGAGTTTGGCTCATCTTTCAAATAAAGTGTGATTGTTGACATCGGGAATACAAATTTTCCAACTGCTTTGTAAACTGAAGGATTTTGGTCCGCTTGCTCTATTATATGTAATATTCAGCATATTAATTAAAAACATAACTAATGCCAGTGTAAACATGCTTTAGATACATAGGTCTATAAAATATTGCACATAAATATAAAATTTGTTCAGGATTTCTTCATAGTAATTTTTCATTTTCATAAAAAGGATACAAAATTGTGCAGATTATATGAATTTGGCTGGTCAAGTTTACTTCAAAAATGATGACATTACACACGGTTATGGATTATTTACAAGAGTCTTAAACATCAACTTTTTGTGATGGTTAAATTTTAGATGACAGGAGAATAGCTTAAGTAAAGATTATTTTCCAAAGGTATGTACTATAAAGATTAGCAGTAAAAATGAGTAGTAAAGTTAGAATAGACAATGGTAAATAAAATTCTTAGGAATCCCTTTTCTGGGTTCATCTCACATCTGCATAACTTTATATTTCTTTCCCATGTATGCTTAACACATCTTCCCTGTGTATATAAATTTGAGATACAGTAGAGAAAATAGGTATTTAATCCCAAGCTGAATATTGGCGTTGCTTCTTATAATTAAAAATAATGCTTGCCCATATTGTAAAATTGCTTTTTTGTTAATGGACTCTAGAAATTTTACCATTACTTTTAACCACCAGACAGGTTCCGGAGTACCTTGAAATTTCTGTATTGCTAATTAAGTCAATGGGAAGATTTTTGTTTCTCTAAAAGGAAGTATAAATACATCTTTTTGCAAAGCTAAATTAAGCAGACGTGAGTCCCTGGAAAATGTGAATAAAAGTGATTTCAGGTTGCAGGTGGCATGGTATTAAGTGAAACTGTCTGCTTTTCCTTAACACTGTCTAAATCCTGAAGCTCTGTTAATTTATCTGCACAAGATGGTTATCTTAGAAGGAAATTTAGTGAGTGATTTCAAAAACCAGCTAACCAAATTGTAATGTCCAAAGATTCTAGATGACCAGAACATCTGCCTAGAGACATGGAGAATAAATAAATAAATTGTTATCCGCAGTTACAAGATCATCTTTGTCGTTTCAAAAGTACTTTCACAGAACCAACAACATAATGCTTGTCTCCCTGAGCCATAACTTCATTAGAAATGTTTCTTTTCCATAGGGAGGTGTCGAATATTCCGTTGGATGCAGTAGTGTTGGAAGGTTCGGTCCTAGTTCACCTTCCGAAGTCGATTGTGATTCAGACAGTTCATCTCTGCAACTTGAGTTGGATTTACCTGGAAAGCAACTTGAGTTTCCATGTCCATTTCAGAGCGTCTGCCAAAGACAGAACGACTAAAGCAAAAGACGTCTTCCATGATTGCTAATGGTTTCCACAGTGTTGAGGATGGACGTTACATCACCCAGAACGGTCTCTGGGCTCTGTGGCAGCTTCTCCAAAGTGCAGCATAGATGAAGTGATATTTCTGGGGCCCTTCCATTTCCTAGGTCACTGGCAAGTACAGGGAAACATCTACTGAACCTTTGTGTTCCTTCTTTTCCTTGAACAGGACCAGTGTTTGTGTGTTTTGAGCTTGGGGTTTTACTTCTCATGCCTCCGCGGCTTTCTCATCTGTCAATTGCTCCCTGTCATTCATATCATCTTGGGGGGGTCTCGCTCTGTCAAAGAATCCACACTATGAACAAGAGAAAAGACGGCTATAAAATCAAGTTGTCCTGGGAACTGGGTGAAACTCCTCATTATAAGGATTTTCACTTTCTGTGTTTTTTAAGGAAATCGGAACTCTGTGGATATTATCTGTTGGATTCTCCAAATTAGGAGGGGAAAGCGGAGTCTTCTTTACCTTCAGAGAGGAATTCGTTGCGTAGAGCAGAGGGTTTGGGTCCTTCCTCCTGCCATGTCGTGGTAGTGGGGGAATGTCCCTGTTTTGTATAATCCACTTATGGACCTGGCATTTTTTCCCCCTGAGATTATAGCCACAAGGCCCAAAGTCTTCCTCTCTGCTTTTCTGCCTGCTTTCTGGAGCCAGCAGAAGTACCAACTGCTGAAGTGTACTGTAGGCTACCTTGCGATGGAATTTGGGAAAAAGAGAGGAGATGCCTGCATATCGCTCTGTACTTGCAGAGCACACAGCATATAGAGGAAAAGTAGATTGGTCATTTCTTTCAATCCCAGGACATTTTAGTGATTTTCCAAAGACCAGCCAGCAACTTGAGGAAGAAGTGATTCTAGAATCTTCATCCTCCTGAATTTCCATTAGTATTTGGTCTGGAAAACCGGAACCTTAATTCCTATTGATTGTTTCTTACACTGGAAGCCAAATTCACTGGGTTTCGTTGTAACTATTGAGTTGTCTCTCTCTTTTTTTTTTTTCCAGGACTAGTACCATATTCTGTCAATTGCCATATGTCATTGTATCATTTATGGAAACAAAGATACTATAAATAACAGAATAATATAAAAGTCTATTTCTAAAGGTAAACTATGCAGTAGCCTCTGTAGACTCAGGAAGGCACAAAACAGCTTATGATAATGATCAGGAAAGACATATTTAACTCACATGGCAAGGTTTTCTCAGTTTGTTAAGCAAACCACATATTGTTTTAAAATAAAAATACACTATGATTTGGGGGAACCACAACAATAGTGGTTAACTAAGATGTGACTGGATTGATTACTCTTATAGTCATGTAATTGTGACACTGTTCCTATTTTGGAGTGGAAAGCTCTGTGAAACTTGGCAGTCGTGTTGGTTTTGGGGCTAGAAATTAATGCCTATTGTAGATTTTTACAATAAACTTCAGTAAAACACATTAAATCTTCCTAATGGAGATGGACTAATTGGCAAGATAAAAAAAACAAGTTCAAGAATATAACATGCACGATCTATTTAGCCTGATAGTCCAAGTATCAGTTAATTACTATATTAATTGCACCTGCGTAGTGCTTGTAACGCAACATCTCAGAGGATTGCTGATAGGATCATGTCAGCAAAAAGCTTGAGATCTTGATTAATTACACAAGAAAAAGAAGGCTTCATAAAAAGATTTTTCACTTCAAGCATATCGGAAAGAAGATCACAGGTCTCAGCTAAGAAAGTCTAACTCTCTCTGTATTTATTTATAAGAAATCTCAAGATAAAAGCAGCATTAAACACTCTTGGTCTTCTTAAATTGTCAGCTGTATAGGCGTAGTACGGTTGCCAAAACAAACATGATACAATTTTCCCGTTATGCTTTTTGGACTGTTAAAAATCCCCAAATCATGCCTCTGGCATTGTCTTTTTTAAATCTCTAGGTGTATCCTTGTTTTTTTTTTTAAGATTTTATTTATTTATTTGACAGAGACACAGCAAGAGAGGGAACACAAGCAAGGGGAGTGGGGGAGGGAGAAGCAGGCTTCTGCTGAGCAGGGAGCCCATTGCGGGGCTTGATTTCAGGACTCTGGGATCATGACCTGAGCTGAAGGCAGACGCTTAACGACTGAGCCACCCAGGTGCCCCTCTAGGTGTATCCTTGTAAATCCCCTCAGTGGCCTCTCTACTCAACAAGAAAAATAAAAGAAATAAACTTACCTTCCATAAAGCTAACGTTAAGATGGCCAGAACCAATAATCCAAGAAGGATTGCTAGTATTATTACCCATAATGGGATTGAGAAGGAAACATTTGGGGTTGTCCAAATAACTGATGTCTTAATCTGAAATGGAAAATAAAGCAAATGAGCTCAAATTTGAAAACTATTGGGTGAAATAAAGCAGTAATTACCAATACAACATGGGGGGTGGGGCTTAGTTCTGAAAAGATCCATACAAGAGTTGAAATCATCCCAGGGGAGATTTGAATGTCTGCAGCACTCAGACAACAAATCTTAAAAACCAGCACATTTTTAGGTCCCCCAGGTTGGATGGAAGATCTAATTACATACACCTGGTGTTTGGCTTAGAACAGCCCAGAAACCCTGGCATGGAATTGAAGTGGACCAAGACTGAGAACCAACAAGGTGGAAAGGAGTGACCTTAAATCGGGCTGGACCTTTTATGGCAGTAATGACTAAAAGTAGACCGTCTGGAAGGCCAAGTCTGTCCACACACGTTTCTCCACAGAACTGAGCTAACCTCATTGAGAGGTGAGTTGAACTGGATCCATCAGACTGTTGACTGTGCAAAAGATTAGAAAATCACCTAATCACCTATATTATTTGCACCTGTGTAGTGCTTGTAACGAAACATCTCATGATTGCTGATAGGATCATGTCAGTAAAAATCTTGAGATCTTGACTAATTACACAAGAAAAAGAAGGCTTCATAAAAAGATTTTTCACTCCAAGCATATTAGAAAGAAGATCACAGGTCTCAGCTAAGAAAGTCTAACTCTGGCGAAGGTTGGTGGCCCTGGAATGTTTCCTGACTGGATACATATGGGTGTTTTCGTGGCCTGCACCCAAGTATGGGACCCTGACCATGCTCAGCTCTTTCCTCTGCCTTCTTAACTACATTGGAGCATCCTGCCTCTGAGCTTCTCAGCCTGTCTGGCTTTTCACTGCTCCTTCATCTTGGTCCATTTCCCCTATTAGGTAGACATCCTGATGGCTCAATTCACTGAATTCTCCAGCCCCAGATATCATTTACATCCAGACTAAAAGGCATCACCAGTAGTGACTTGATTCCTGCTCAGTGAGAAAGAGGCTGGCCTTCACCTGTTCATCATTATACCTTCCTCCTTAGCCTGCTAACTCCCGTTGCCAAGCAGTCCCTATTTCATCCAACACATCAGTAGGAAGTGCAGCATTCCATGACCATGCTGGGATTAGCCTCACCCTGCTTGCTGCCGTCTAAGGACAGGACACGTGGTGCATGAAGCAATACACCGCAAGAACTCAAAGAAGTCACGATGCCACTGGATTCTGCAGCCTGCATCGCTTATTCTACACTGATCCTCTGCATGTATATGGCTGCGTGAGCAAGCTAGGGACTGATGACTTCTGAATCACCTCTCTTTATATACCTTTCCCTTGGTGAATTACATCTAGTAACACCTACAAAGTCAGTGCTCAATCCTCATTGTAAGGTGCTCTGAGAGAGGACATGAAGTCGTCTTGCAAAATGATCCTAATATTACTGGAAGCAGAAGCCTACAGTTTCGATAACGAGAATTTCAGAATTTTGGAACCACAAGGGATAGTAGTGATCATGTACTCACCAGCCAGTTACAATGACCCAGGAGAGAGAAAATCTGGAGCCATGGAAAATTCTGAGGTTTCTTTTCTTTCTTTCTTTCTTTTTTTTTTTTTAAGATTTTATTTATTTATTTGACAGAGAGAGAGAGAACACGTGCACAAGCAGGGGGAGCGGCAGGCAGAGGGAGAAGCCAACACCCTGCTGAGGACCCTGGGATCATGACCTGAGCCAAAGGCAGATGCTTACCCGACTGAGCCGCCCAGGCGCCCCAATTCTGAGGTTTCTGATAACTGTTTCCTCCCCCTGAGCTCTAAGTACACTGAGGAAACAACATAGTTTCAGGCTATATTTAGTTCATGTGTTAGAGATCGCCAAAATTTACTAATAGGTAATTTATAGTAACACAAGCAACCATGCTTCTTCATCTTCCCTGTCTTGATTTACCTAATTAATATCTTAAATTGCCTCCCAATTTAGCTAAAGGAGTTGAAAGAAGGGCCAGAGGGCCACAGACTGTTCTGTTCAAATTGTTAGGTTAGTAAAAAGCAATGGGATGGGAGAAAAGCTACCAGTGACTTTGCTGGGTTCCTTTGCCTCTTGGCTACTATAGGTTTTGATGTTATTATCTAAAAAACTGGTCATTCTGTAGAAACAGGTAGGGGAGGTCACTTACAAAGAGTTAATAATGATATGTGAAGGCCTTTTATTTTGCAGTGATGGAAAATATGAATAAAATATTAAATTGAACAGGATATGCTTATTAGGGTCTCCTGAAGCAGAAAACAGCTTTCTAGATATAATTACAAAATCTGTTGGCTTTTCATTTGCAATCACTTCCAAAGATCTTGACAGCAGTGTCTTAAAAACGTCTGAGAGAGGGGTGCCTGGGTGGCTCAGTCGTTAAGCGTCTGCCTTCGGCTCAGGTCATGATCCCAGGGACCTGGGATCAAGCCCCGCATCGGGCTCCCTGCTCCGCGGGAAGCCTGCTTCTCCCTCCCCCACTCCCCCTGCTTGTGTTTCTTCTCTGGCTGTGTCTCTCTCTGTCAAATAAATAAAAATCTTAAAAACAAACAAACAAACAAAAAAAAACGTCTGAGAGTAGATGACTGTCCTCTTCAGTTCCAAAATTCTGAAATTCTCATCACCCAAATGGTCATCAGTCAGCTCCCAGTAACATTACGCTCACTTAAAAAATACCACGCTATTCCCTTTCTCTGAGTATTTTACAAAAGTTAAGATTATACATGTCTTGTACATTTCCTGTAAGTCATCATATGTAATTAACCAGGAGGAGAGAACAAAGAATTTTAAAAGAAAGCCAACTGGAAAACTTTCCCCCTGCACCTCTATTCTGCTTTTCTTGTCTGTTGCCTTTAGGACATCCATGTGGCACTGAGGCTGCCCGATCTTCTCAATCTAAAACGTGAGCAGTTGCAAAGACCTTCTTTGGCCCCTGGTGTTTTCCTAAACCTACCTAGGCTTTGCACCGCATAATCAAGAAGTCACTACACCGATGACAGTTGGAAATACAGAAAATCGACAACAGTGCCCCGGAGCATTTCTCCAGATTGCCAGGGCGGGGGAGCTAATTGATTGTTGCTGGAAAGAGGTGGATGAAGAGTCAAGGGTGACACATCATTGGAAGAATCGTACGTGTCTTGGAAAGGGAGGTCTTTCTGAGGACACATTGATCAGGGAGTCATGTGACATATTCATGTGTATAAATGGCAATGGGGCATTTCATTCATGGGTGGAAACAGGTAAAGCCCAGCTTTTCCTAAAAGTCAATGCTCTGTATAAATTAGAAACTTGAACTACAGAGACAAGCTTGCTAGGGAAAGACTAAATTGATCACTTTTATAAGACCAAAGCTTATTTAAATTTGTATTAGTGCTGTGGAAATTACAGAATGGTTTTGGGAAAACTTGCCAAGAAATAAAATGTTGGAAAATACTAAAACTTTGTTAGCATTTATGTTTGTCTTGCAGCTCATTTTGATAAGCCCACAAGAAACTTAGTTATCCCTTGGATAACTAGTAGTAAGAAAAATAGGTCTTAATTTTTAGTTTCTCATCACTAAGCACTATTTATTGTAATAATTTTTCATTCATTTCAAATAAGATTTATTAAATAACCCATGTTCTCTGAAGCTCTGCAGGTATTATCATCAGCTCCAAGCTGGAACATTCGGTAACCCTGCTCTAGATCTGTGCTGTCCAATAGAAATAAAATGTAAGCCACATGTGTAATTAAAGAATTTTCAGTATCCACATTAAAAAGAGAGGGAAAAGATGAGATTAATTTTAATAATTGATTTAAGCCTAAGTATCAAAACTATTATCATTTCAACATGCAGTTGATATAAAAATATACATATGACATTTTAAACTTTTTTTTAAAAGAAGTCTCCAAAATTCAGTGTGTATTTTATATTTGCAGCACATAACAACAAACTAGATTTTCAAAGGTTAAAGTGAAATGTAGCCTCAGAGAAAAAAACACAGGTTCATTTAATGGACAAACACCTTATACAGCAAGTTTTTAGGTTTACCTTTAAATGAGTTAAACTACTAGTTCACTGTCACAGTGGCCACTTCTCAGGTACTCACTATCCACTTGTGGCTGATGGCCACCATACTGGACTGCACAGCTCTAGAACATTTTGTATGATCTCACACAATGGTGTGATTTGCCCATTTACTTAAGTCCCTCCTTATAAGATTCATTCATCAACAAGGTGGTCCGAAGGCAGAAGGTGGGGTATATTGGGAACTAAAAGTTTCCTTTAAGAATATGGACAAGCGATTACAAATTTCAACTGCTTTAAGAAAGAAGGGTAATGGTGACTAACTGAAGTAAGTACTGAAAATTTAGGGAGAAAAACTCAAGTGTGTGCCAACTAATCAACAAACTGTTTCAGTTTGTCTTCATGTATCAAGAACCTATAGCTATTTAAAGAACTACATAACATTTTAACAATTCTCTTATTATAATTATCTGCAATTTTAGGATGTGAGATCCATAAATTACAAGTGGTTTAGAATTTCTTAAAGTGATGCTAAGTAGGGAACATTTAATCTTACCTTCATCAAGTCATAAATCTTGTTCTTTATTATGGTTGAAAGATCATAAATAAATTTTTAATATGCCCACATTTTATCATTGACATTTATGATATGTTTTTGTATATTTTGACAAAATACCAAAGTAGAAGGAAAAAGCTCCCTTGTATTTGCAACTGTAATTTATGTTGACATCTGTATTTAGGTATCACAAAATCTTGTGTAAACATACTTCATAGGGGTCACAGGAATGTTTTAAAAGAATGTACCAAGATACCTTACCTACAGTGCCATTTAGAACAAAATGATATCATAAAGTGGACCAGCTGGACACACATTTTAACAACATTTAAATAACCCCTATGAGATAAGCAGTTTGAACTCCAAACAATTGTTTGATATAATAATTCCATTTTAAGGCTTTGAAGTTGTGCTAACAAATGAAATGGATTCAACAGTTTTTGTATGGAGGTTTTCAATAAGGATTCTCATGAACTCTTGTATAATAACTACTGTTGGAGTTACACTAGACAATAATATTCCCTCCTAGGTGTCAGTTATGGAATTCAGCTTTAGTGGCATGACATACAAACGCCAACGTTTCTTGCTAGGCAAAGAAAATGGTCAAGTAACTGAATCCTGTTTTTTCTGCTGCACTGTAATGATTGAACATTCAATCATAGCCCTTTGCATCCCAGGTCACCTTTTCCTCCCCTCTGAACACGGCAAGGGTCATGTTTCATGAGTTCATTTGTTACAAACACAGACATGCTACAGGTAGCAGATAGGAGGCACTCTTTTCTTCAGTGTGTGAAGCTCACATGGGGTTCTAGAAATGGTTGAAATCATGACCACGTTGACAAGGGAATACAAACTCACTACTCATCCCACACAAGGGCGTAGGACAACAAGTCTCATTACAAAAGAAGTATCTGAGAGGGTTTCCCCATTGGCAGAGTATGGATTGGAGCGCTTATGATTCTCAACCTGTTCCAGCTCATCACCTTAAAGCAATTCCCTTCTGCTGCATTCTTTTCCAGATAAGAATGACCTTTGAGAAGAACTCACTATAAAAAAAACAAAAAACAAAACAAACAAACGAACAAAAACATCAGCTAGCTCAAAGTACAGTCCTCTCAAATCAAGCCACAGGAAAATCATTTTCCTGTAGCGCAGGGCAAACTTTCTACCAACCGGATCTCCACTCGGTCAGGTATTGGGAGACCTAAGGGCACCTTCATTCCTAAATGTTTTTCCAATAACCTTTCCATAAACGATGTGGTAAATCATCCACCTCAGATAATAAGGCTTTTAAAAAATGCAGTGACAAGGGTGGTGGGGATGGGGAAGCACATGTAACAGATAATTTTGTGGGTCTATCGAGATGAGTTGAGAACAGCAGGCTATCACCTGGGGCCAGTACAGAAAGACCCAACGCTGTTGACAGGATTGACTGTAACATATGTTTCTGGTATGGAACACATGCTCAGAGAAAACAAAGGGACCCAGATTTATCTCCCTTAGAGAGACAAGCCTTTGAACCTCTTTGGATGAACATTCTGTATTAAAACCCAAAGCCTCTGTCTTCTAGGTTGAACGTAAATCCAACTACAGCAGACATCTTGTGAGGGAAAGAAAGGCGAGCTAAATGAAATAAGGTGTGGCCGTCCTTACTTTAAAATGCCACCAAAGCTTACAAAAATATTTTGACATTTCCAAGTTGGGCTTCCTTGACTTAGCCAGGGAGGGTGAGACATTTTGGGAGGGTTACTATTACTGAGGCTTGAAGCGTACCTTGTTCCAGGTGTAATGCAGGACTTTATTAACCTTCTCAACAATGCTTTCAGGTGAATATAACAGCCTCAGGGAGGTACAGTGATTTCCCGAATGTTTCCTAATTTGAGTGGGTGGAGCCAGGGTGAGGCGCAGGAGAATGTGTGTGTGTGTGTGTAATAATATAATCCCATTTTTTTATTTTTTAAATTTAATTTTAAAAAATTTTAATTAATTAATTAACCCATATAGTGTATTATTAGTTTCAGAGGTAGAGTTTAGTGATTCGTCAGTTGCATATAACACCCAGGGCTCATTTCATCAAGCGCCCTCCTTCATGGCCATCACCCAGTTACCCCATCCCCCCACCCCCTTCCCCTCCAGCAACCCTCAGTTTGTTTCTGAAACACATTTGAAATGTGGGTCTTGCTCTGTGTTGCCTGACCCCGTGCTAGAGATTCCTAGTGCTTTTATTTTTTTATTTATTTATTTTTTTAAAGATTTTATTTATTTATTCATGAGAGACAGAGGGAGAGAGAGAGAGAGAAGCAGAGGGAGAAGCAGGCTCCCAAGGAGCAGGGAGCCCGACGCGGGACTGGATCGCAGGACCCTGGGATCATGACCTGAGCCGAAGGCAGATGCTTAACCATCTGAGCCACCCAGGCGCCCTGCTTTCATTTTTTTTAAGTATGTTCCACACCAACACTGTGCTTAAACTCACAACCCTGAGATTAAGACCTGAACTGAGATGAAGCGTCCGACGCTTAACCAACTGAGCCACCGAGGCGCCCCTCTCAGTGCTCTTAAAGCACAGTGCCAGGGCCCCACCCCAGCCCTCCTCAATCCTGATATTTGGGGTGAGGTCTTAGCATGTATATATCTTTAAAGTCACAGGGGTGATGATGCTTTGCATACTCAGGGTTGAAAATCACGAATCAATGGATTCATCCAATTTAAATTACTAAAAGTAGATCAGGCTAGAAAGATTAAATTTTATAATTACATTTTAAGACCTACACCAATAAGACATCATGACAGTATCAACTTATATACCATCCAAAGCAGTGCCTCTCAAGTTGTACTGTGTCCACGATGCCCTGGTGATTGTGATAAAATGCAGATCCCGACTCAGCAGGTCTGGAGTGAGGCTTGTTTCTGAATTTCTGACGGATTTCCTAGGTGATGCAGATGGTGCTGTCTGCAAGCTGCACCACGAGTAACAAAGACCTGGGGACCAGGTTTCAAGTGGGGGTTGTATCTATGGAATGACCCAGAGACAAAGATTTTAAATCTTAATATTTTTTCCCAGAGCTCTGGCTGTGATCACCCTCATGGTAAACTCAGGGTCTGGGTGACTGTGTCCCCGTGTCCCCCCCCATCCTGGTCCGCTCTCCATGGCCTTGCCAAGCTGCGGAGGATGCCAGCAGTTGTGTTGTGACTGATAGACCCCCGTCACTAATGTTTAGTATACTCAGTTTTAAAATAACATTTCATTCAAATGAAGATCATAGTGTGCTTTTTTTCCGGGTGAAAATTACAGTTCTTTGCATAGAAAGGATATGACTAAGGTCATCCAGCTGTCCCTAAGGAAGAGTTTCCCCCCAACATCCCTACCTCACTTACCACGCTGTCTTTAAAATTAAACAATCAGGAGGATTGCATTATAATGATCATTGCTATCTGGACTTCTTCCAAACAAAATGGCTTGATGAAAAAGTGGTATTAGTCCTGCACTGTGATTTTTCTTTTGAGTAGAAATTGACACTGAAAGTTTAAGACTTTGATCAAGCAGCACTAAGAAATTTCCAGACTGAGATAAGAAAATAGTGATCCAGAGAAGAAACTTTCCTCAAGTTAATGTAATAAGCACTTAAATGTAGCACGAGCTGAACAGTGATTTAAAAAATAATTATTTCAACAAAATTATTGTGGCTCTATATTTTTCAGATACTCACTGCTATGCTTCCTTCTGGGAGTTTTGCTGGCTGATCTTTATAAGGCATCTTCTTAACTTTGAAGGACACCAGGGATGCAAGAGAATAGGGGTCATTTTTTCTCTGAAATTAAAAATATTTATTTAAATATATTCCATGCAAATATTTAAAAAGTTATACAGGCAGCCATCCAATTGTTTTCAGTGTTTTTCATTTCCAAAGCAAAATTTCATTTTTCCTTCTTTTTTTGTTTTTCTCTTGAAAAAAATTTTCCCCGTCTAATCATCCATCATACATCCAGACATCCGTTGAGACATCCATTCCACTGTCCATCCAACTGCCCATCCAGTCATTCATCCTTTTCTTTTCTTTTTTTTTTAAGATTTTATTTATTTATTTGAGAGAGAGAGAATGAGAGATAGCACGAGACGGAAGAGGGTCAGAGGGAGAAGCAGACTCCCCGCTGAGCAGGGAGCCCGATGCGGGACTCGATCCCGGGACTCCAGGATCATGACCTGAGCCGAAGGCAGTCACTTAACCAACTGAGCCACCCAGGCACCCCATTCATCCTTTTCTTAGTTCTAAAAAGAATTTGTCGTATTAACAAAAGACTTGGTACAACGACGTTAGAATAAAAACAGAAAATCAGAGTCCTAAAAAGGATCAAGCACAAGGATTAATATAGTTGCTGCTAGCGAAGAACAAAGGGGAGATATAGTGGGTTATAAAATTCTTATTATCTGATAGAGGGAAATATTTTAGGAGAGAGACTGATACTAAGTTATAAAGAAATTTATCACATTTCATCTGATACAGAAGACCCAGAATAGGCTCTCTTAGTCTCAGCACTGTTAGGATTTTGGGGTTGGATGGGGTACTGTCCTGAGCATTGTAGGATATGCAGTTATCTCTGACCTCTACCCACTAGATGCCAGGCCAGTAACACCTCTATCCCAGTTGTGACAACCAAAAATGTCTTTAATTATTGTCAGTGACCTCCGAGGAGCAAAATCCCCTTGGTTAAGAACCACTGACTTAGGGGCACCTGGGTGGCTCAGTCGGTTGGGCGTCTGCCTTTGTCTCAGGTCATGATCCTAGCACCCTGGGATCGGGCCCTGCATCAGTTTCCCTGCTCGGTGCGGAGCCTGCTTCTCCCTCTCCCTCTGCCTGTCTGCCTACTTGTATTCTCAATCTCTCTCTGTCAAATAAACAAATAAAATCTTAAAAAAAAAAAAAAGAACCACTGACTTAAAGCCATAGAATTTTTGATAAAACTTTTCAGCAAAAAAAAAAAAAAAATTTTGTTTAATTGGTTCTCATATTAACTGTTGATTAAAGCCAAAGGAAAATATTTAAACTAAGTCAAGGAACGTAAATTTTGAGAACGTAAATTTCTGCGGTTCCCCACCCTTTAACTTGAGACAGTGATTAGAGCTATCCAGTCTTAGGCTGGAGCTGGTTCATAATGGCTCTTGAGAGCAGACTGTTAAAATTTCAGGAATTTTGAGTATCAGTTGTTAAACAGAGCCATTATTAAAACTTCTATATATGTAACTTTCAGAAAATTGTTTTTTAAAAGGTCATACACACTCCAGACTCAGTATTTATTAACTATTTTATTGTATTTTGCTAGTATCTATGCTCTGGATATTATCGAAGTCTGTTGTATCTGGAAGGGGAAATACGATACGATGGTGTGTTAGAACCTCTCTTCCCAACTCCAGATTTGGTGACGTTATGCCAGCAGCTTGAAATCGGCCATGGTGGGAATATTTACACCATGGAAATCAGCAAATGCTGCACATTGGAGCTTTCCCCCCTACTCCCACGGAGCAGTTTATTAAACATTCACCAGCACTTCACCATTTATAATTGAATGCTGGGTTTCTTGAAGCCAATCCATCAAGTTGGATTGTAATAATTTTGTTTACATTTTTTTACAAAGTTCTTCTTTTTCTTCCTGTGACTGAACGTTTTTCTCTTTTCAATAAATCCCATTTCCTCTAGATGATAAGGACAGGCAAGAGTATGCAACATTTTTAAATACTTAAAGTCACTATATCTTTGACTCTTTCTTTCTACCCCAACATTCCAGGATAAGTAACTTCATTCATTTGGAGAAATTAGTTTTTGGTTGTTATTCTTCTGATGTTCTCTTGTCTCCTGGCTTTTCCATTTTAACTGAAAGTTGGATTTGTTTGTTTGTTTGTATGAGAAGTGTTTTTTAAAATGTGGAAGGACTTTGCTCATAAAATCTGGCATGTACTTGGTGATTTAAATCTACTTTCTTTACCACCCTGGCTGGTAGGCACAGAAGGAACATGACCAAATTCTGGCCATGAGATTCTGCATAAGAATCACAATTACATACTCACATGTGTGTCCATGCTCCCCAAACTCCAAAGAACAAGTCTTCTCTAGTCTCCAAGTTCAATTAAAAAAACTGATAGAAAATAATTCTCTTGTTCTCGAAGTCGTATCTTTGAGGAACAAATCAATAGAGACCTCCATCTCTGTCTCAACTCTAGATGGGAAGTTTTGTCCTGCCTGATTCTGCATTTAGGAATATGGAAGTTTCTTAATGAATAAAAGGTGGGATTTGAACTCTAGAGTGTAGAACAGGGAGAAACATGTTTCTCTGAGGGGATTTCCATTGACCTCCTTCCTTTACCCCCTCTGCTCTTGGCCACAGTTTGATTTTTCCTCATGTTTTACTTTATACCCAGTCCTCAGTATCCTTTCCAGTGGTTCCCAGCCCCGTGGGCTTTGCGGAGCTTCAGAAACAGCTGGGATCAGGCTCAGGGATTCTGATTCAGAAAGATGAGGATGAAACTATATTTGTCCTACATTGTTTGCAATTTTGACATTGTTGTTTAACTTATTATTTGTCTCTATTACTTTTCTCCTCAACAAGATTATATAGAAATGGAGGGTGTAAACCATGGGATATAATGTTTATATCTTCCATAGCACCTCCAACAGCTTCAACCCTGGCTGACTGACCACGTAAATGGACAGTGAATGAACCCTCCCACCTCACATAACACCCATTTTATAGCACCTTATAGAAGGTTTAGTTCTTTCAATGGTTGAATTGGACCCCGTCCACTATCAACTAGATTAGAAAGTTCAAGAAGTTGTAAGAAAGGTAGTGACATAAAATGGGGGCTGTGGTTCATGAAAACGGGCTGTTGACCTGTCCCTCCACTATTTGATTCAGTGACATAAACTGACACAGTCTGGGGCCTGAACAAATTAAGGTGGTAGGCAAATAGCCTGCAAACAATACAACTCATAGACAGATCTACTCCTTATATTAAATTATTCTCCAAAACCAAGATTCTTCCATCCCCTTCAGTAGGAAAATACATTTATTTTTTCATTTTTCTAAGATGCTCTGGAGCTCCAAGGAATGGCGATATGTAAGCAATTAGACTATGATCAGCTGGGGTGGCACCAAAGATGTGCTAGTCTTGTGACTGCAGGTCAAAAGCATGGCACAAGTATTTAATTCATGAACAACAATTATGAGCAGAGTCATATTATTGATTCTACGTTCAAAGTTGAATGCTTTCAGCCGTGGTCTTCACATAACAACTACATTATTCTTTGGTTTAAAAGAAATCTCCTCTTCCATATAGCAATATACTCATCTAATAGCGACCATTGCTATATTGCAGGGAATTTAAGATTGAAAAAGCAGCTGGAGTTAATATCCCTTGACAATATCTGGGACCTTCAACCTGCCGCAGCTAGCTATTAATCCTCAGAAAATTCCCTGTTCCTCTATCATTGCTGCATCATTTCAACCGTGGTTTGCAGCTCACTAGCTGTCATGCACTTTTGCACAATGATTTGCTTATGGTCTTGGTACTAATACAAGTCCTCTAGTCGGTAACAAATGGAGAGTGAGGCTTTTGAATTGGTTAAATACATGGTGTGGCTGGTAACGTCATGAGCCCTCCCACTCCTACCTTCCCACGGCTCACTTCCTTCTCAAGAATTCTTTTTGACCACATAGCCCATGTTTAAGTACTCAACATTTGCCAGAAACAAAGCCTTGTGAGCTGACAAAACCTAAGCAATTACTGGTAAAATCTTACCCTGGGAAGGATTGTTTCAAGCAACAATCACAGGGCAGGGTATCATTTAGGACTATTCTAAATAAAATCTTTTTCTGACCCGTTTGCACGTTCACCAAGTGGGCAGAAACAAACATAATGCAGCAAATCATGTCATGCAAGAATTGTAAACTTTCTAGTTTAGATTAGGAAGGCAGAAAATGTTTACCTCCTTCTGGATTGCATGACAAAACCGTTAAAGACCTCCAGTATGTAGTATATTCTTAGAGAGAGTGGGAGAGGCAGGGAGGGAGCAAGGGAGAGAGACTGCAATAAGGAAGGCACTCCTCTTCGGCCCTCAGATTACAAGACAGGGAATACGCAGAAACTGGGTGTGCGGAAATGTGGGCTATGGCTGTGGGTAAATGCTGGTGACTTGAGCCACTCTCTCTGGTCTTGGTTTTGGCTCAGGTCATGATCTCAGGGTCCTGGGATCATCAAGCCCCACATCGGGCTCTGTGCTCAGCGGGGAGTCTGCTCGAGATTCTCTCTCCCTCTGCCCCTCTCCCTGCTCTCTCTCTCTCTAAAATTAACAAGTTAATAAGTTAACAATCTTTAAAAAAATTAAATAATCCTGTTTCCCTTGACTGTGGTGTTGTAATGATTTTAGTCCTGTTTCACCAAAAAGTTATTCTCCCTTATTTCAGTAGGATGTGATACCCAAAGTAATAGAAGGAATGTATGGTTATCACTGAAGACTGTATGGGCTTGGGAATTCAGTGAGACTCCTCTCCTCAACTCCTCAACTCGGAGATAAGCAGTAACAACCCCAAAACAGAGTCACCATGAACAAATTGATGGAAAGGAAGCGATACCTGAAGAGGAGCCTGGCGCATAGTTGGCACTCCATGGGTATTTGTTTAGTGAATGAATAAATAATGGTTTAACTAAAAAAAAATTTAAAAAATCAAATAAATTGTGTACTGCACTTCTCCCTGGTTCGGGCATTCAAAACTGGGGGTGATTTTGCCCCCAGGGGACATTGGCAATGTCTGGAGACAGTTTTGATGGTCACATCTGGGGAATGGGTTGCATCTAGTGGGGGGGGGGGGGGGGGCGGCCAGGGATGCTGCTAAGCATCCTGTAATGCACTTCCTATAAAGCATTCTATAATCCTATAATGATTGTTCCCCACAACAAAGAATGATCTGATCTGAAATAGTATGCTGAGATTAAGAAACCCTGCCTTAGTTAAAAAATAAAAAAGCTTCACCACTATTTCATAAATACCTTTAACTTTCCTTCTATTTATTTTAGAAACAAAATTAAATAGGATTTGTGAGACTACAGAAGTATTTTGAATCCCGGAAAACAGAAAATCCAGAGCTCTGAAATTCTGTATTTATTAGTTAGACTCAAAAGGACTTTACCATTTGATTTTCTATGGTGCAGTGAGCCAGATGAATTTTTTAATAGTTAAAATATGAGCAAGAATGCATAGATTTGGTAGGGTTTTTAATTTATCTTATTTTCCCCTCTCTAAATCCTTTCTAAACCACAAGGTCACAACATAGTAGTATCATTTGAATAAATAGCCCTTTCCAAAGGGAAAAAATGAATTTGTACAGTATAAAAGAGATCTTAAAACTTTAAAATGCACACAATCCATGGAATTATCTGTGGTAGGGTGGGATGCCACAGTATAGATACACTGAAGCAGCCAAGAATCTATTAATCACACATATGTGGAACGTCACTGAGATGCGTCCTGGCTGGAGCCCAGGCTGTGGAATATCCCTTTTCCCTTCTTCATTGATTTCTATTTTGACCCTTTGGGGCATATGGCTTACACTGTGTTCTTATACGCGCCATCATTCCGCTGACTAATATTTACTGAAGAACTACTATGTGCTGGCCACTGGGTAGAAAGTGGTGAACTAAATAGATTTATTTGAAGCTAAGTTACTGTCTAAAGGTCTTAGGGACTCAGAATATTTTCATTGTCTTCACCTAAAAGATGAAGGAATATTACTCAGCCATAAAAAAGAAGGAAATCCTGCCTTTTGTGACAACACAGATGGATGAAGAGGACATTATGCTATGTGAAAGGAGTCAGAGAAAGACAAATACTGTATGACATCACTTACGTGTGGAATCTAAAGAAGCAGAACTCAGATATAGAGTAGATCAGGTTGGTGGTTGCCAGGGCCTCGGGGAGGGGGGATTGGGGCGATGGTCAAAGGGTACAAACTTCTTGCTATAAGATGAATAAGTTCTGAGTATCTAATGTATAATTAACAATACTGTATTGGATTCTTAGAGCTGTTAAAAGAGTAGGTCTTAAAAGTTATCACCTGCCCTCCACACACACACAAAGGTAATTACATGAGGGGATGGAGGTATGAATTAACTTCAGAGTAGTAACCATTCGAAAACATACAGGTCTCCAATCGTCATGCTGTATACCTTAAACTTCCATATAGGTCAGCAATATCTCAATAAAGCTGGAAAAAAAAAAAAAGGTCTTCACCTGATGGGAAAGATGACCAGCTGATCTTGGCTCAACGTCTCCACAGACGCTTCTTTTAAACAATTTTAAAAATTAAAAAATTTTAAAAATTAATAAAAAACGTTAAATTAAAATTAAAATTAAATCTAAATTTTTTTAAATGAAAAAAATCAAATTTTTCTAAATTTAAAAATTAAAACATTTAAAAATCCTTTTTAGGAAAACTTCCAGCTGAGCTTTTGAGGAGCGTTTCCCTGCAAGCGGGTGCATGAGCGTCAGTGTTGTTACCTGGAGGAAGGTCTTGGCCCATAACCGTGACCTGACTTTTAGGACGGCACTTTCTCCTCCTTCTAGCCGCCCCACTGCACAGGAGATTTGTAAGCACTCGATATTTGTACAATTCTGCAAAACAAAAGAAAACAAAACAAAACAAAACAAAACAAAACAAAAAAACCTCAACAGCAGTGGTGGCCAATTGGTGTTTTTAAATTGTGGTGGAAAATCAACATTGAAGTCAGCTTATCTGCACTGTATTTTCTCAGAAGTCACCACCTAATTCATAAATTAATCATTTAAATAACAAACAATTACATTGAAACAACCAAGAGAAAACACAATTTGGTAGTAATGATGCATCAATTTTACTGGTAGTGTAGAGATAATGGAATGTAAAATACAACATAAGATTTAAGCTTTGTTTTTTTCCTAAGGACTTAAAACAATTCTCCGCAGCAGTGATTGGATTGTTCTTTGTTGATTTCCTTTCTCCGAAGGTGGGAAGATATTTCTTATAGACCCTTACAACACGTGACCCTGGACTAGAGGAGCCCAGAAAAGGCTTCGGAGGAAGCTCCCTGTTATCTATATTGTCTCAAAGACCCAGTGTTATCAACCCATTTTTTCCGAAACATTCTTCCTTCTAAATTACTTCTTGGTTGTTAAGCAGAACCTTCGAGTTCCATCCATTAGGCTGTTTTTAAGCAAGTTCCTAATTTTGCCAACTTACAACAGGTAACTTTTACTATATAAAATGCATGTTCCAGGGAAGGATTCATTGTGATGACATTCTACCTGTCAAATCATATTTTTTGATTGGGTCCAGTATGGAAATAAATAGATGGCTCACATCCGTTTTCCGTGTATCCATGTGCAGGATGATACTTCTTGAATTGTACTCCCTCACTGATTTGAACTTATTGTGTGGGTTATGCTTTACTTATTTCCCATGTCTCAAGCACTGGGCTCTGGACTATTGATGCTCGATAAGCATTAGTTTATTGACTAGTATGAGCAGGATTTAACCGAGGCATTTCATTTTAATGAAATTGCTAAACCACAGAGTAACTTGAGGGACATATTGCCATGAAAATCTTTTTTGAGAACCTCTGAATTCTCTAAAAACAAAGCAAAGCAATCAGTAAGGGGTATCTGATAAATTCCAGGGAGGTCAGATTTCGAAATGCTGTTTCCAGGTTCAGGTGGCAGGGCTGTTCTTGTTCTACTAGGGCTGGGCGCTGAGGTGTTTGGGGTTTTGTGCCTGCAGCAGGAGCAGGAATTCTGGAAGCGCTGCAGTTTGTGTCCCCTGTGAGGACCCTCATGTTTACCTCCACTTCATTACTGACACGCTGTGTATCTCCAATTCCACCCTCTGGAGGCAAAGGAGGCGAGTGAGAAGTGGGTGGTTCTTATAAGCTCCCTGGAGCTGTTGGTCCTGGTGAGCTAGCTCTGTGGGAGGATTCTGGAAAAAGACTGTGCTCAGAATGAGTCTTGAAGGGTGAGAAAGAGTGACCTAGCCGTCTAGGCAGACAGGAACAAGACCAGTGCATGTTCAGAAGAGAGGAGAAAAGGGTATTCGGGGGCAGGGTGGACGGATGGAAGTGCGAGAGGAATGACAGGAAGTCTAGGTGGTAAAGAACGTTCCTCTTGGAGCTGAGGAGTTTAGATCCTATTCAGAAGGTCCCGTTTAAGCAAGGGCTATGATGGGGTTTGGGTTTTCGGGGCAGGTGCTATGGAAGGCAAGCATGGTGGGGGGAGGAGAGTGGGAAGCAAGGAGGCTGACAAGGGCTTGTTGCAAGAGTCCAAGGGAGAGGGGAGGAGGCCCTGAACTGAGGTACGGGGATGGAGAGAGGAAAACGGAGTTTAAGGAAGTTCACGAAGTAGAATGGGACGTTGGTGACAAATTGGAAGTTGGAATGAAGGAGAGGGAGGGCTGCAGGGAAGACTGGAGGGAGCCCTTTTGGCTTGGGGAACCGAGTGGATGGGCACTGGCGTTCCTGAGATTGGGAATTCTAGAGGAGAAGCACATTCTGGGGGTCATGGAGACAGAATTCTGGATGTGTTGGGGCTGGAGTGGTCATCAGGCATCCAGAGGAATGTATACACTGAGCCCTTCGAGTCTAGAGTGTAGTAGGGACTGCTAAGATGGCAGTAGGCATGGCTGGAGTTCACGATCGTGCAGAACATTTCCCTGAAGGAGCGAAGTTGGTGGGAGAAGGAAGGGACCTGAGGATGGAGACCTGAGGTACATGGGCAGAGGAGAAGCCCACAAACAATTCTAAGAAGGCTCAGGCCAACAGACCGGAAGAGAGCCAGGAGAGAGTATTTTGCGGGAGGCCAAGGGACATACAGTTTCAGGAAGCGGTTAATAGTATCATAGGCTGAAGAAGGTTTGAAAGATAAGGTTTCTGTAAGCTGAGGAGGGAAAGGGACAAGAAGAAAGCCTGGCGAGGAGGAGATGGTATGGTCATTATAAGAGCAGCAGGGGTCCGAGATAAGAGAGGCAAGGACGTTCTTGGGCAGAGGAGAAGTATATTTCAGTGTGACAGATACAAATTTTTCTTATGCAAATTGGAAATTATGATCCCAACACAGGATGTTGGCATTTTGCACTTTCAAATTCCTAATCAGAAATGGGATTCAGTAAGTTGTTTTTAACTAAACAAAAACCGTAGGAGGTCTTACTGAACTTTTGATTTTAGAATAAACTTTGTATAATCACTTTCTATTCAGAACTGTTTTGACTTGAGGACATGGGGAGGCGTATGATTTGTGATTTTCGAACCAATAAGAGACAAAGAGAATAAAGCATGAGTTAACGAAGTCAGAAATGGAAATCAAGAATTGCCTCGCTCTCATCTGCAAGTAATAAGTTTCTATGATATTCAGGAGTTAAAAATCATCTTGCATTAAAAATATTTAATGAGAAAGAACGGGAGGGGAAAATCCTGACCCTAGAACACAAGTGCATATGATTTTCGAAAGAATTTTAGTTATTGATCTCTCCTGCCTCAGTGTACTCATGAGACGTAAACTAAATTGGAAATTGAAAAACAAAAGTGAACACTGATTTTCTAAATTGTTGGTTCCCATAGGTTTGGACACTGGTTCTCCAGAGGGCTTTCACATTGGTATTGCATATTAGAATTCTATAGATGCCAATTATTGTTTTCTTTTTAAAAATTATTAAATTTTTTACTGAGGTATAATTAACACAGAACATTATATTAGTTTTGGTTGTGTGACATAATGATTCACGATTTGTATATTTTGTGAAATGATCGCCACAATAAGTCTAGTTACTATCCATCACCACACAGTTATAGTTTTTTTATGATCTTGGAGAGCTTTTAAGATCTGCTCTCTTAACACCTATCAAATATGCAATACAGGACTATTAAGTGCAGTACCATTCTGTATGCCACATCCCCAGGACTTAAATCATTGTTTTCCGTTCTACTGTTCCTCTGGGAAGCTTTCTTTAAACAATAATATGTGGGATTTTATTAATTTATCCTAAACTGAACAGCATAACAATTTCCTACTCTTAGGTTTTGAAAAACATTACCATGCCATAGAAATTTACAGGGACTTGAACCAAAATCTGTCCCCTGCCATAGCTTTTTGCCAGGTAACTTTAGGTACTTCTATTATAATAAACATTCCTCTATTGATTTAAGTTTAACTGAATAAGTTAGACTTGCTCGATGTACGTTTGTGTCCATTTCCGTGTTTGATACTTTTTTATGAATGTTAGAACATATTCAAGGCACATTAAAACAAAACATTTTAGCCTCTTAATTGTAGAGTTTGGTGGTATTAACATTCACCTTGGAACGAGTGAAGAGAATTGAATTGAACTGAAAATACTGACTCTTGAGTGCTCTCCACAGTTTTGCAAAGGGTTGACTAAGCTCAGGATAGATCTACCACAGCTCCCCGTGCTAAGACTCTGCAGGGTTTGGGCCCAGGAAATCAGAAAAGCCCATTCTCGTCCTTTCTGGACCAGCAGAGGAGTCTGAGATGCAGGGACACTTGTGACCACCCCCCCCCAACCAGCGCTCAGCGTCTAGGAATGGGCTCACAGCAGGAGCTTTGTGTTCTGCAAATGCATTGCATGCCATGTTTTAGGTTTTTATCATTATTTTTCTAATGTGGCCTGCATGGCAGGTTTAGAAGAGTGAAAACACTATAATGCAAAAATGGCTTTGAATGCAGGGAAGAGTCGCTTTGGTGGCTCACAACGCATACTGGCAAAACATGGCAGGCATATCTGAGTATTGAATGGGACGGAGAAACAGCCGAAGTTCAAACCTTCTGTGTTTGGGAGTTCGGTCCAATCCGGTCTTTCCTCTCGGATGTACGCACACTGGGATAACTCACCAAGATTTTTGCGGGGCTCTGTCTATGGGGCTCCGGCATCCGCACGTCTCTCTTCCTGACAAGATGAGGGATGGTCGAGTTTCGCAAAAAGGCACTGAGCTCGGGGGTGTCCTCTGGGGGGGTGGCGGGCTGCAAAGAGAAAGCAAGAGATAGCACGTCAGTCTCATAAATGCTCGTCACCTTTTCATTAGCCTTGAACGCCAGGCATTTTCCCCCTCAGCTGGCTAGGAGTCACAAGAGAAGTCAGACCCCTCCTGCTTTGCAGGCAGTGTGTTCAATCACACAATGAAATGCATGGACAAGGGATAAGGCTTCCCGTTCTCCAACCATAGGAGCTCCTGAAGGATGGGGAATGCCTTCCTGGAAAGTTTATCTTGTAAGGGTCAGATTTTATTTTTATTTATTTTTAAAGATTTTATTTATTTATTTGAGAGAGAGAATGAGAGATAGAGAGCACGAGAGGGAAGAGGGTCAGAGGGAGAAGCAGACTCCCTGCTGAGCAGGGAGCCCGATGTGGGACTCGATCCCAGGACTCCAGGATCATAACCTGAGCCGAAGGCCGTCGCTTAACCAACTGAGCCACCCAGGCGCCCAAGGGTCAGATTTTAAGCAGAAGTGATTTCCCCAGGAGCAAGTGACTTTTCAAGCATGAGTCATTATTTTCCTGTTACTTTTCTCTCTTCACACATCGGTGCTGGTGAAGCTCAGGAATATTCTGTGTGGTGGGATGGATCCTCAGGAGGCAGGAAAGTGAGGTGCTGGGCAAACAGATGCAGTCGAGGACCCGACATCAGCATGCCTGAGCCCCACGCTCCTGAAGTTGTAAGAAATGGTCCCTCAAGAGTGAATCGTGTTCTAATAAAAATGACTTTTCCAAAGCATGCCACATGAACATTGTGCTGTAAGGGAGCTTGTTTTCAGCCCTCAGTTTGTTTTGCGAGTGTTCTAGAACTTACGATTTTATCTCAGGCTCCATGCTGGGTGGGTACATCTGATAGCTGAATAAATATTTTGAAATGCCAATAAATCACACATAATACCCCATTAGAATTTTTCATTTTAGACTGACTGAATATAGAACCTTAATTTTCTGCCCCTACCCCAAGTCCCCCAAACATGTTCTTTTATTTTTTAAATTTTTTTAAAAGTTTTTTTTTAAGATTTTATTTATTTATTTGACACAGAGAGAGCAAGCGCAAGCAGGGGGAACAGTAGAGGGAGAGGGAGAAGCGGGCTCTCACTGAGCAGAGAGCCCAACATGGGGCTTGATCCCAGGACCCTGGGATCATGACCTGAGCCGAAGGCAGATGCTTAACTGACTGAGCCCCCCAGGCGCCCCCACACATGTTCTCTTTGTAGTCACAGGGGCAGTGATAGTATGCCCATTTCTGTGGGGTGAAGAAAGGTATTCCTATATTGTAGATGTAGGATGCACCACAGAAAATGGAATGATCATGCCCAGCATGTCCTAAGACCCTAGAAAAATCTACTGGATAAACAGAAAGATAGAGTCCAGATTCCTCAGTATCTGTGCACAGCCCCTGCGTACTGGCCTCAGCCTACTGCTCCAGCCTCATTTCTTACCAAGAGCCCTCCACACCCTGCTCGGCAATGTGCAGAACTGCTGTCCACTCCTGACGTGCAGCAGGATGATTCCCGAGCCCCTGTGTGACCTTCCACGTGGTAGCTCTATTTCCCCATCAGCACCCACCAAGCTGTGCTGTAAATGCCTGCTGAACAGCCTGAGTTGCCCAGTGAGAACATGTAAAATGATAAGCCAAGAGTCATATATAACATCCAAGGCAATCTCGGGAAACAGAGAGGAAGAAGATCCAGTGAGGAGACGTGAGATAGGAGAAATTGGATGTAAGAGACAATCCAGGAAAGCCGGAAAGTGGGAATCTAGGGAAGCCTAAGGGAAAGAAAGTTGGAGAAATAAAGGAGTGACTAAGAATGTCAAATCCTGCAGAGGAGTAAAGAATTAGGACTAAAAGCAGTCACTGAATTTGTCATGTAAGGAATTATGGACATATGATCCAGCAGTTCCACTCTGGGTATTCATCGGAAGAAAACAAAAACACTAGCTTGAAAAGATATATTCATCTCCATGTTCACGGCAGCTTTATTTACAGTAGCCAAGATATGGAAGCAGCCTAAGTGTCCACTGATCGTGAATAGATGTGGTGAGCACACACACGTGTGCACATGCACACACCCCAAAATTTATTCAAACATAAAAAAGAAGGAAATCAGAGGGGAGGGGGTGGGGGGATGGGTTAGCCTGGTGATGGGTATTAAAGAGGGCACGCTCTGCGTGGAGCACTGGGTGTTATGCACAAACAATGAATCATGGAACACTGCATCAAAAACTAATGATGTGATGTATGGTGATTAACATAACAATAAAAAAATTAAAAAAAAAAAGAAGGAAATCCTGGATGGGATTTCCTGGATGGATGACCTTGTAGGCATTATGTTAAATGAACTAAGACAGAGAAAGACAAATTCCATGTGGAATCTAAGAAAAAAAGACCACCAGAAACCCAAGCCCAAACCAAAGCCTTAACTCAGAGAGAACAGATTGGTGATTGTCACAGTTTGGGGGGGGGTTCCTGGGGAGTGGCTGAAATGGGTGAAAGTGGTCAAAAAGTATAAACTTCCCGTTATAAAATAAATAAGTCCTAGGGATGTCAAGTATAGCATAGTGACTCTAATTAATACTACTGTATTGTACATTTAGAAGTTGCTAAGACAGTAGATCTTAAAAGTTCTCATCACAAGGAAAAAATTGGTAACTCTGTGTGGTGATGGATGTGAACTAGACTTACTATGGTGATCATTTCACAATGTATACAAATACCAAAACATGTTGTGTACCTGAAACTAATACGTGATACGTCGATTATACCTCAGTGTAAAAAAAGAAAAAAGAATTTGTAGATGCCTTTTGCTGAGCAGGGGATGGGTATGGGTGGAAATTGACCTGCAGAAGCCAAAGGGTAAATGCATTCAGACAATTGGATAATTATTTGAAAAAGTATAAAATTAAATCTTTATCTTATTCTCATATTGAAGCAATTCCCCATGGCTCAGAGATGAGATGCAGCCATGTCCTCCAAATAAGAAAGCACCAAAAGAAAACAAAATAAAACATGGATGTTCTTAGTTGCTATTTATAATGGAAATGGGATAGTAACATAAAACTTTGTGGGCATTCATAATTTGTTAAATAAATTATGATATTTATGCAAAAGACTACTGGACACTTTTAAAAAATGATGTAAAGCTACAGAGTAATTTAGAAAAATATGAGATTTTAGTGAGAGGAACAGGCCGGTTATAAAATAGCATATATATAATAAGATTGCATTTTTTAAAAAATAAAAAAATGGACGTATATTTACCTTGCACATATAGCAATAGAAACAAAATCTGGGAGAATAGTCATGTAAATATTACTAGTGGTAGAAGTTTTGCTAACCTCTTTTCAAGTATGATAATGGTATTATGGATTTTCAAAGAGATCCTTTATTACTGGCAATATACAGTGAAGTGGAAAAAAAATTAATGCACAAATAAATAGGAAATATAACAGTAAATGGGTGGAGACATTATTAGAAATTAAAATTTTTCTTCTGTTTTTATATATTGCCTGATATATTCTTTTGATGGGCATTTAATACTCTTTAATATGAAAATAAAAAATTAATAATTATAATAAGTTATTTGCTTATTGTTTGTTTTGAAGATGGAAGAAATTTAAGTAAGTTTTTGGGATCCGAGGAAGGAACCAGTAGAGAAGAGGTTGAAAATATAGGAAACAGGGCATACTTGATGTAGCAAGTTAAATTTGGAACCAGAGAAAGAGCTCTCCTTCCTCTGGAAGTGTTGGACAGGACTTGGGGATGAGAAAGAGACAATTAGAGGTGTGTGTGTGTGTGTGTGTGTGGTGGGAGTTGGGATTTGGGATGGCGAAAAGTATCCTTTGAAGATTCTCTTGCTGTAAGATCACCTACTAACAGTGATGCTAGGGAGGCTGGATGGGAAGTACGAGAACAGCAGTGAAGGTTTGGAGAAACAAATGAAGAGACGAATCAAAATGGCAGAGGGGGCTTCTCCACACTCCACTGGCTGTCTAGTGAGCACTTCCCACCATCAGTGTGTCCTGGTGCCCTCAGGCAAAGGGGCAGAGAAGCCAAATTATGGGAGTGTGCCTGATGCAGATTTTCAGGGCAGGGACTTGGAAGGACATGGGAGAAGGGAGGGTTACATAAGGGAACCTATAAAAGAATGTTTCAGCCAACTCATCATGGATTCCCGGCTTGGCAGTCTTGAGAATCGGGTGGTTAACAGACTTGGAGAAAGTTTTCTATCAAGGAAGGGAAGGTCTCATGGACAGAGGAAGTGAGAAAGTTACAAAAATAGGAGATTGAATTGGAGGCTTGGATGCGCACTTAAATATTTCAGGGACGGGGTAATTAGGAGTGATGTTCACAGCACTGGGCTGATGAAGTACGTAGACACCGAGGTGTGGGCCAGCCCCAAGGACGCTGGAATAGTCCAGGACCATGGTCAGGAAGGAGTGCCAGCCAAAGAGTTGTTCAAGGATCCTCAATGGTGGAGAATCTGATAGAAATGCCCTTATAGCTTAAGATTACAATTTGAGTTTAGATAGAAAATTGTGAACACATCTAAGATTCCCTTATATGTTTTCTATCATATACTCGTGTGTGTGTGTGTGTGTGTGTGTGTGGTTTTTGCTTTGACATTTTCATGTGTAATTTCTTTTTCTTTTTTTTTTATAGTTCACTGGGAGATATGTTACAGAATTAACTCTGCACATAACCAAACTACAGGGAAAAGGTGCTGGATGGACCTATGGGATGTTCCTTTATTCCCGTAGTTGTAGGAGTAATAGTAAAATAATAGCCCAAAGAGAAGACAGCTCTTCAGCCTCCTGTGTGGTGGTGTCAGATGCAGCTTGCGTACAGATGAAGACCACGTTTGTGGGGGCCCCTGGTACATCATCATTTACAGATACTTATGAGCAGTCTCTCAGTAACACACAGGACTTACTCTGAGCCAGAGAATGAACGTATTACACAGCAGGGGTTGAGAAAACATGCTTC